CTTTTTGTTAATTGACTCCTCTGTTGTTATGAAAAAGTAAGAACAGTGTATTGTGAGTTTATAATATGTAAAATGTATGACAACAGTTACAATGTCTGAAGGAGAGCAATGGAAGAAAATTTAGGCATCTTATTTTTCACAATAGATTACAGTCTTCTTCCTAATCAGATGATTTACCTGAAATGTCATTCGATTTAACTCACTCTCCCTCCCCCTTGCTTTAGTTATGGGTAAGGCAGTAGGAAGAAATGAATGATCTGCTTCGTGTCTGCCTTGTGATTTTCTAGAAATACAAAATTGGGGTCCTTAAAGCTACACAGAAGGAAAGTGCCGCCTCACGGCCTCGCCTTTCCCACCTGTTCAGCAGGTCTTTTTGTTGGTCACACCTTCTCTGTTGCAATGGCCATTGGTGAGGAGGAGGATGAGCTTCTGTTGTGGATTTTCAGGTGTTTTCTTTGGGGGAACTGCAGAATGAGTGTTAGATTTGTCGCTTCTCACCTGCTGTTGTGAAGATGGTTTTGTGGGAATTCAGGCTGCGTTGGATGCCCTGTTATGCTCATCCCTAATGTTTTTGATCCGTCATAGGAGCCAGCACCACTCTTTGACCTCGCCATGCTTGCCTTAGATAGTCCTGAGAGTGGCTGGACAGAGGAAGATGGTCCCAAAGAAGGACTTGCCGAATACATTGTTGAGTTTCTGAAAAAGAAGGCTGAGATGCTTGCAGACTACTTCTCTTTGGAGATTGATGAGGTGGGCGACGGTCATTTTTATACCTCCATTGTATTCTTCAGATAAGAGTCAAGTTCTGTAGTTGGTCCAGGATCAGGACAAGAAGGCTGGGCCCCCTCTCAGAAGCAGCCTGTGACCTCTGTGACATCTTCACTCCCTATTTGCATTTCTAGGTTTCACAACTTTTATCATCCATTCGTGCCCATTCCTGTCCCCAGGGTGCAGGACCCAGGCAGGAGGGAGAGCTGAATCCCACTGTCCCTGCAGGCCCCAGTGAAGGAAATGATGCTTTGCCACTTGCTCTCCTAAGAGGTTTCTTCCTCTTACCCCTTGATTTCTGGGGCTTTCCTTGATGTGTTCTTTGGTTGGTGAGCAGATCCAAAGAGAAGGTGGCTCTGCTACATGTCAGGACAGAAAGCTCTAAGTGCTTAGTTCTGCTGCCCCCAGTGCCCAGCCTGGTCAAGCACCTGGTTGCCCAGAACGGCTGGTCTGAGGACAAGACCTGGAGGAAGCACCAGGGAGAATTTGTTTAAACTGTAACGGCATGATTTCTTATCCCGTCCTGGCCTTTTTCCACAAGCAGGAAGGGAACCTGGTTGGATTACCCCTTCTGATCGACAACTATGTGCCCCCCTTGGAGGGTCTGCCTATCTTCATTCTCCGACTGGCCACTGAGGCAAGTGATGGAGCCAATCCTGATGACAGTCCTGTGGGTGTGTGAGTGTGTGTGTGTGGGGGGGCGGGGAGGGCACATGGCCCTGCCGTCGTCTGTAATGATGAAGAGAAAAAGGGTAGCATGGCTAAGGTCCCTCTCATCCCTGCCCACCCCAGCAATACTCAGTAGTTCCAACTTACAGCTTTAATGCCTAAAAAGTCACGTTTAGTTTTTAAGTTGTCTGTTATCTCCATTTAGAAATGAAATGTGTTTAAAGCACGTACCTATGTTGAGGTATTGAATTCTCTCTTTGGAGCAGGTGAACTGGGATGACGAAAAGGAATGTTTTGAAAGCCTTGGTAAAGAATGTGCGATGTTTTACTCCATCCGGAAGCAGTATGTGTCTGAGGAGTCGACGCTCTCAGGCCAGCAGGTATGAGGGTGTGCACTGGTGCCCGGGACTGGGGGCACAATCTTGCCCTCTCTAAATTCCTAGGATCCGCTGCATATAAGCTTCAAACACAGTGGTCAGCTCTTACGAGTTTTATTTCCTTCTGAAATATAGAAGGTGCCTCCAGAGTGACCTCACTGTCAGATGTACAAGCACAAGCCATCGCAGTGAGAAATGGGAAGTTTCAGGGCTAGTGGGTGGACTGTATCTCCCATTGTGAGCCCAGAAGTGTGTAGCCTTAGCCTTCAGGTTCTGGGTCAGTCTCCCCAGTCTCTTTCAGCTTGTGCCTCACTCTGCCTCTGACCACTGCTGTGCCAGGAGGACACGGCTGTACTTGGGTCAGGGCCCCAGCTCTTATGGAAGGTCAGCCTGGGTTCCTCATGTTTCTGTGTCAGATGACAGTGCTCTTTCAATCCACAACTATTTCGGAGGGTTTGGCTGGGTGGGGGAGAGGGGGCTTTGAAATACAGGAGTACCTCAGAGGTTTTATTGGTTCCGTTTCAGACCACTGCAGTAAAGCTAGTTGCGCAAATTTTTTTGTTTCCCAGTGCATATAAAAGTTATGTTTATACTATATACTGTAGTCTGTTAAGTGTACAGTATATAGCACTGTCTCTAATAAAAAGCCAGTGTATATACCTAAATTAAAAAATGCTGTTAGAAAAATGGAGCCAGTAGGCTTGCTCAATGCAGGGTTGCCACAAACGTTCAATTTGTGTTTAAAAAGAAAAGAAAAAAAAAAACCCGCAACAGTCTGCAAAGTGCAGTAAACTGAAGCCTGCCTGCAGTGTAAGAATGGAAGGGTGGGTACTTGATACACGTAACTGGCTCGGTGATTGCTCCTAGTCCTCCTCTGAGATGACATGCTGTTGCTCCAGCTTCATGGGTGAGGAAGCTAAGGGACAGTTTCAGCGGGTGCTCAAGGGTTCCCAGAGCCTGTGGGTGGTGGAGCGGAGATCCAGTCCCAGGTCGTGTTGGCCAGAGCCCCTGGAACCATCTCATTCCAATGGAGGTGGCAAGATAGCACACTTACCAAACTGTGCTGAGAGTATCCCGTTTGATTGGAAACACTGACTTCAAGGTGAGGAAGGATGGATGGGAAAGAACATCTTCTTTTACATGAGGCAGCCTAAGGCTTAGATGTAGGAGGGGAAGGGTGGACTAAAATAATCCTCATTTATTTTTTCATTTCTTACCTGTGGAGCTTTTTGGGAAATAGAACTACATTGAGACTCCAAATTTAGTGGTAATTACAGAATGTACTTCCTACTACTGCCATCCAAACATTATGTTAGATCCTGCTAGAGTAAACACACTCTCCCTGAATGGTAAGTTTCCATGGGAGGAAGCGTCACGAAAGCCACGACTGATTCTTTTCTTCCATCTCGTCTCTCTGCTCAGGCCTGTAGGATCCCTGAGAGGCTGGCCTAGAAAAGATACTTCACAAGCATTAGGTCACACAGCCTATTATAAGCCACCAAGACTCTCCAGGCCCAGTGCACATCAGCCAGGAAACCAGTGTAGACTGGGATGTGAACATCTAACATGTCTCTTTCAGAGTGAAGTGCCCAGCTCTACTCCAAACCCCTGGAAGTGGACTGTGGAGCATGTCGTCTATAAAGCCTTCCGCTCACACCTTCTGCCTCCGAAACATTTCACAGAAGATGGAAACATCCTGCAGCTTGCTAACCTGCCCGATCTATATAAAGTCTTCGAGAGGTGTTAACTATGGTCGTCTATGGCCTCTGGGATGGGTCGTTCTTCCTCTGTATCCCGACATTGGTAGGTTGAACTCACACTTGCATTTTAACTAGTAGCACTCCTTCATGCATGGTGGATTGACTATAAATAAATAGTCAAATTTGTCCTAACATGGTTTTTTATTTAATTTCATTACACTTGAAATTTTCCTAGATCCATTTTCACCTAGTGTATACTGATTGTGTTGAAGAATCCCAAAAGTAGTTTGAAAGCCTCCTGGACGTCTGATAAGAATTCTAAAAGGGCCTTAAAGACTTTATAGATCATGCATTGATTCGATTCTTTCTGTGTTCTAGTGAATTTCTAATATCATGTGATAAATATTATGTTGGTTCAGGTGCCTTTTTAAAAAAGAGGTCCTGAACCTATAAGAGGTGCTGATGACATTGTCAATTCAGCTTTCTGCGTAGTCACTCTATTAGTACCTTCAGTAACCAAAGCTAATTAATTTATTCTTAATTTAAAAATTTGAAGAAAATAGTTCTTATCCAATCCAAAACAGGCATGAGTTTTTAAGTTAGCTCACTTTGTTAATGGCTATCAATACTACCAGCTTAAGATAAAGGAATTTCTAGGTATTCTTGTTTGAAGGGTGTTGTAAAAATACAAACTGAAACTGTAAGTACCATTAAAATAAGCTACCTTAATATTAGCCTGCATTAATAGAAATGTGCAGTCAGCACAGGGAGGAAGAATGCCTATAGTTTTGAGGTAAAGTCCAGATTACAAGGCTCAGTGAAGAAAGTTCTGTGGAAAAGAAGAGAAGAGTCTATTTTACGAGAAGTGGAACCATTCCATTTGGAAAAGACTGACAACAAAACAGCTCCAGGAGGAGCACAGGCTGAGTGGCCGTGGGTGGAGAGGAAGAGGGATTTCCAAGGCCTCAAGAGGTGGACTACACGATGTTTCAGTTCCAGGTATGTATGGGATTCTAGGATAAATCTGCATTTCAGAACATGCCTCGTCACTGCCCACTCCCACACATCAACTGAAAGAAAACTTATAGGAAATCATCTCAAAATATGGAAACCAATTTCCTGAATTATTTTATTTTTTAAAATTTATTTATTTTTGGCTGTGTTGGGTCTTTGTTGCTGCTTGTGGGCTTTCGCTAGTTGCAGCGAGCGGGGGCTACTCTTCGTTGCGGTGCGTGGGCTTCTCCTTGCAGTGGCTTCTCTTGTTGCGGAGCATGGGCTCTAGGTGCGTGGGCTTCAGTAGTTCTGGCGCATGGGCTTAGGTTCTCTGCGGTATGTGGGATCTTCCTGGACCAGGGCTCGAACCTGTGTCCCCTGCATTGGCAGGTGGATTCTTAAGCACTGCACCACCAGGGAAGCCCCTGGTTTCCATGTTTTAAACACAAAGAGCTAATTATTCTAAAGAAGGGAATAATTATTAGAGATTTTATTCATATTTAAGTTAACTTTATTACCTAGTTTCAAGTCTAATTTTATCTTATGTGGCCTTAATTCATTAGACTTTCCCCCATATTTTTTCCGTGTAAACACATTGAAGATACAATAATCATTTCCATAAAACCACCTCAATTCTGAGCGCAAAAGAGAGAATTACAAATACTGTAACATGGCTACGACTCGATGATAAAATCCTCAAACTGGGTGCCTTTAAAGATGAAACTGAAGTTCTTAAAAGAAATTCTATATTCCAGATTATTTTTCCTTAAGGAGAGAAAAGAGGGGTGAGCTAGGCGGGCATGATTGCCAATGACTAGTTTTAAAGGCTCCTCTAAGAAAATGAATGTGTCAGTAGCCAACTGTAGTCAGCAAAAGGGTATATTTAATAGAATCTTCAGGCTGACTTCCCACCTGCCTGGCCTGGCCTGCCCTCCCTCCCTCCCTCATCGGGCTGGTCTGAGGTTTCATTCCACAGATGAGCAGCAGATGAAATACTTTTCAAGATACAGCACAGTTGATGTGAAGACTAAGGACCCTACTCTTACTTTAAGAGTACAGGCCTTGGACTTCCCCTGCCCCATGCAATAAAGCAAGTTTTATATACACTCCCCATATCTTTTTCTAACATTTTCTTATATAAATTTAAATATCTTACAAAAAAAGGCTTTTTCCTCCAAACATATAAATTTGAGTGAAACGTATATTCCCCACCTGTGAACTTGTGTCTTCACTAAAATATAAATGCTACCTGATATTAAGGGTAAATGTCTTTTGACCACTGGAGATCACTGAAGTCTGAATTGCACTGTGGAGAAGGCACTTGTGTTTTCTGAGGTCTCCAGGAAGTACCTCGGTGAGCGCTGAATCGCTGTCCTCCAGAACCCGTGCCAAAGCCTCCGAGTGCCCAGTCACTGAGGCAGCTGGGGAAAAATGGTGAGTAAACTTGATTCTAAAATTATGGAAATAAAAAATAACAACGGCATGGACCAATTCTTAGTCTAGAATCAAACTACCAACAAAATCCAAAGTGTTCATTCATGAAGATTCAAACCTGTTTCATTCTCTCATAAATTATAAAATACAAAGGTGGCTATTTTAATGACAAAGCTCAAACAGTCCTGAAAGGGGTTTGAGTGGACGAAAGATCAGTCCTTCCAGGCGGGGCCCAGGCAGCAGGGCGGCCTCCCTATTGCTGGGCCAGCAGTGCTGTCCTGTTGGCCTTCATCTTCTCCAGCCGCTTGGCCAGATGGCTGTTGGTCATCTCCATCTCCTCGATCTTGTCCAGTGCTGTTCGTAACTGGAGACAGGAAGAGCTTGGTCACTTCACATGGTCAAAAACGAAACCCAGCGCTACTTTCCTGTCCAGTTTCTGGGAAGTGGAAGCACTGCATTGCGATCCTGCAGTTGCGTTGTTTTTCAGGCAGCCAGAGGTGTTAACCAACGGTGCTGAATATTAATCACAGAGAGGACATAGAGAAGCTGGAGAAACAGACCTCATCTAAAACAAAAATAAAAACTCTCCTTTTTCTTATTATCTAACTGACCAAAACATAAAAGTAAATGGCAGTCACTGTGTAGGTCAGAAACCAACACAGAACAGTGATTCCACTGCTGTTCACTAAGATTGGAGCCAAGATTAAATTCCTTATGCAGCAAAGAATTTATCTCCAAAGGATTTTTTCTTTTTAGGAAAGTATTCCAAGAAGCATAATAAAAGCAAGTACCTCTCGTTGTAGCTTCCTCTTTTCTGCTTTCAGTTCATCCTCGACTTTCTCTGCATTCTCAGCAGCGGTTTTATATCTCAGCACCTGCCCCTCCAGGCGGCTGATCTGTAAATATGAGAACACAGGCCTCTGGTGCTGGCACTAGGAACCACCACTTTTTTGAAGCCAAGATGGAAATACAATGTCATGACAGATTCCAAGAATCTAACACTAACAAGTCCCCTCAGGGGGAGTCAGAGGTCCTCTCAGAACTCGACTGCTATTTATACATTTAGAACTGTCCCTAGAGAGGATGACAGCTGTAGTGTCATAATAGGGCCAATTTCCCACGTTAAGCTTTACGACAACCATATTGTTTAAAAGCCATAGTAACATCGCAGGAGGAGACTCCCCGATAGACTTTCTGAAATATACAATAAGGGATTATGTTATAAACTACAATCTTCTTGAAGGCTCTTGAAATAGCTACAAGAAACAATTATAGCTTCAGTCTCATTCATTCATAGAAAAGGCTGAAATGCCCTATCAGGTGTTCTCCGCTGGCTTTTCCACTTTAGAGCTTTTATAGAGATTCAACTGCAAAGGCAGCTCAAAAAACCTAGGCATTCATGGGGCTAATCACTGAGATGCAGGAAGCAGATGTGTTGGTACCGTACACAAGAAGGACTTACACTTTGCTCCAAGGTGGTTATATCCTGTTCTGCTTTTGAAAGCTTAAACTTGTACTCACTAATTTGTCTGTTGGCATCTCCTAGAACAGAAGAGAATAATAAACCATCTCACAGAGGTGAAGGTGTGAACGTGAGGCAGTGAGGCCCCCTGCAGTACAGGAGAGGACTGTGCAGAGGAAGAAGACAAAGCACACATGCACACAGGCAACTGCGGTATCTCCTGCAGCACAGGTTCTGGCGCATCTATGCTATGAGAAGCTCTAGCACTTGTGTTGCAAGCATTTTAGAAGAAAATTCTCTCTTCACACCATGATGTGTGCAGGTAGAGGTTGAAGCAAGGAGCCCTGTCAGCGCAGCAGGGCCCCTGCCAACCTTACCTGCAGCCCCAGGGCCCAGGGAGCCTCTGTGCCCACGGGACCAGGCCCCCCCCCCCCCGCTCCAGTTTCCCTGCCCCCAGCCCTACACCTTCCCATCTCCCCAGGTATCCTGCTCCCCCCCACAGCCCAAGTGCCCTTTTCTCCCCACCTCTGATCTAAGTCTAACCAACCTTTAAGGTCCTGCTCAAGGTCCTGCTGAATTTTCACCTCCTTCATGACTCTCCTTAGTTAACTAGAGCTTCTCCTTCCTTTGTTGCATTTTTTTGGACTCTCTTTCATGACATCATGCTTTCCTAACATTATATAGATATGTAAGGACAGGGGCCCTGTTTTGGCTTCTTGAATCTACCTCTGTTTCTAGCCAAGTGCTTTGCACGTAATGTATGCTTAATATTTACTGAAAATAAATGCTTTTCAGTAATATGTTGTGATAATGTGTTAAGGATAGAGCTATAAATCATTAGCCGTATATCTGACCTAAGAAGCAAACCATTTAAAATGAGAAGCTTAGAAATGCTGGGGGAGAAAAATTCCAGCAATCCAAATTTAACAAAAATCACTCTGAACTAATTACATTGTAATAGGAATCATAAGGTTTGCAGGAGATAAACCAAATCTACCCTACTTAAGAACTTTTCTACTTTTCCATAAAACTAAGGTTAAAACTACCTACATAATCTTTAATGCAAAAGGTTTTTCTAATTGGATAATTACTGTCACCCTAAAATTAATGTGGTTATAAAAGCCTCTCCCCAAAAGCCATTCCTGGTAGTGAAAGAGAACTACTCCCATTTCTGGGCCTAAAACTGAAGCTTTAGGATACTGTTTTTTAATTCTTAACTCCAGCAACTTATTATCAAAATGTGCTGCTTCCTTCTCACCAAACCACTCATTCCTTCCTGTTTTCAAAAGTATAAATCCCTGGTCTCAGCCATTTATTTCATGCGTGTTCTGAAATTCCATCCCCAAACACCATGCTTACAGACAAGGCAGCTGTCCAGAACTGAGAGTCACCAGGTTCCTGTCCAGGCCTCCGGTGCAGGGGAGCTGCCTGCTTCTGTCGCTACATGCCAGGCCCAGCCCAGCCCAGCCCTGCCCGGCCCTGCTATGCTCACCTGGGTCACAGCCCCACCCCGGTCACTTGCCCTGCTTGCCACAGACGGCAGCTCTGTCGTGGTGCCTGCTCTGGGAAGATGTCACACATCAATGCACACCCATTCCTCCTCAATATGATTCCTTTTGAATTTGCTGTTTTAGGTCAAACTCTTACAAATCTGTGCACTGCCCTCTTTCTAAGACTGTTGGCGGCCACTGGACTGTTTTGGTCACTATCACAACCTCCTAACTAGTCAACCTACCTTTTGTTATGCCCCTCTTTTCATCTACCCTCCACTCCAAATCGGTATTTCTAGAACAAAATATTTGAACTATATCACAAGGGTTCCAACTGATATCCAATAGAGGAAATGATACTAACCTCAAAAGTTAATAGTAATAAGTTAGTTTTAATAAGCCTGGTTCAAAAAGCTTGTCTATTTGCCCTAACTCAGAATATTTAGATAAAAGGGCCATGGAATAACCACTATTTTAAAATAAGTTATCAGAAAAGCCTTATTCAAATTGGAAAAATAAGTGTCTCCCCTGTGTGATTATACATTATCTAACTGTATATGAATGGCTGCTAAAATCTCCCCGCTGTGGGGATTACTCTGAATACCGTAGGCACTTTAAAATAATATGGGGTCAAAAGTAAAAAGGCAGAACAACTGAAATAATTTGGGTAAACTGAGTAGGCTTACTTTGTGGCCTTGGTTTAAATTCCATCTAATAAAGATTAATTTGGGTTAACAAGACTACTTCTGGGAAAATTCTGAAACTACTCCAGAGTAGTGTGAGTTAGTTCCAAATATATTCCCCTCCAGTTATCTAAGATAAATTCCATAGAAAAACATGTCATTAGGAAGGGTGCTTACAGATGACCCGGGGATGTGGAAAAGGATAGTGTCATGATGTCACCATTTGCAAAATGTTCTAGAAATCACTTTGCCAGGAAGCGGGGAGAGCATTACCTCTCAGGCCTTGTCACCCCAGGAAGCACACAGCCTAGTAGAAACCTCTTCAGTTCCATGACTGACCAGGATGGCTTTTCTAGTCCAGCTGAGAACTAACCAGTCTTCAGAACTGCAGGCTCTAACAGCCTGCTCACAACCACGTCCCGGCCCCAGCCCCACGCGGGTCAGTGGAGGCCCGGCCCCAGCCTTACTCTGCATTTCGATGAGCTGCAGGTCCGAGCCATTCTGCAGTCCCGCCAGGTCACCTGCTGTGCCATCGTTCCTGGAGCACTTCTGCTGTTCCTCCTCCAACTGCAGCTTCAGTTTTCTAATCTGAAGAGGAAGTAAAGGCTTATGCGTGAGATCCAGTCTCTCAAATGAAACAGATGCTTGGCCTGGTGTCCACATCTTAGAATAAGGTCACAAATCATTCATTCAGAAACTGTTTCCTGGAGTGCCTGCCATGGGGCACGCTGTGCTCAGGTGCTGGAGATCAGCTATGAGCTAATTATCAAAAGGAGCAAGCTCCAGGACCAGGTGTCCCAGTTAAAACAGCCATATTTTATTATTTGTGCAGGTCTGTGGAAAAGTACATCTTAGGAGTTTCTTTTTGTTATTTTTTATTAAAAATGGAAAATTCATGGGCAGTTAGAGGTTTCTTGTTTAGAGTTAGGTTAAATATTCTTATTTAGAAAAACTGTATACAGAAATAATTGGAAATTTATTTTTGAGTTCAGCTACATAATCTACCTTATTTTACCCAAAATAAAGGACATTCATAGCAGCTTATTCATTAATAGCCCCAAACAAGAAACAACTGAAATGTCCATCAAGAGAAGGATAAGTAAATTGCGGTCGATTTATACAATGGAATTACTACTCAGCCAAAGAAGGGAACATACTACTAATACGTGCAGCAACAAGGTGAATCTCAAACTGAGTATATGCTGTGTGAAAAACTCCAGAAAATGCAAACTGAAGGGACAAAAAGCAGGTCAGTGGTTGCCTGGAGAGAGGGAGGGAGGTGGGAGGGGAAGGAAGGTTTACAAAGGGACACAGGAACTTTGGCGAAGTTATGGATATTTTCACCATCTTGATGGTGGTGATGGTTTCACAGGTATTGCTGTGAGTTAAACTGTCCCCCCAAATTTGTATTTTGCAGTCCTAAGCCCCAGTACCTCAGAATGTGACCTTATTTGGAAACAGTCACGGCAGAGGCACTTAGTTGAGATGAAGTTACACTGGAATAGGGTGGGCCCCTAGTCCCCTAGTCCAATATGACTGGTGTCCTTATAAGAAGAATGCCACACGAAGAGACAGACAGGCACAGAGGGAAGATGTGCTAAGACAGAGAATGTCATCTACAAGCCAAGGGACCCCAAAGATGGGCAGCAAAATGCCAGAAGCTAGAAGAGAGGCCTGGAACTGACTTCCCGTCACAGGCCTCAGAAGGAACCCACACTGTTGACACAGAGCTTCTCACCTCCAGACTGTGAGGTGAGAGGACATTCTGTTATTCTACGCCACCCGGTTTGTGGTGTTTTGTTATGGCGGCCCTTGGAAACTAATATAGGTATGTACATCTGTACACTTTAAGTATGTGCAGCTTACTTTATGCCAGTTATAACCTAATAAAGGTTTTTTTTTAATTTACAAAATAAACTAAAAAATAAAATTAGGAGGGACTTTGGGTTGGGAGAAAAGAAGGCCCAGGTGGAGACAAGAGTCTCACATGTGAAAAGTAAGATTAGACGGACAGAAATGAACTGCATGCTGAGGCCTCTGGTCCACCCTCAGTTCCCAAACTGCACACCCAGCTAGGACTGTAGCTCAGGCACAGGACGGGATCTCTCTCTTTACAGGACGGGGATCTCTCTCTTTAGAACTCTCTGACTAGCCTAAAATAAAAGACCAACATAACCACATCTAAGGTTCCCAATAAGACACCCAGCCACATCAGGCTTCACAGAAACTTGGACGAGCCCTACCCACAGGCTCAGAGCTGCCCACCAGCTTTTTAGTCCTCTGCTTTTAAACTGAAGACCAACTAAGTGTACATAAAAGAACATCTGGAAGGAAACAAACTATGCAGATAGAAAAAAAGAATCAGGAAGCAAACCAACCAGCCTATCAATACCCTCTGAGATAAGGGAAAATATCTGCATCCTTGAAATGACTGCAGAAATAGAAACTCATAAAAATGAGAAGATAACGGTGAGAATATCTTTTAGAAAGCAGAACAAATGAGACGAAAAGGGATGGAAAAACAGGAGAGAAACATTATCTGTCCCGAGGTCTCATCCCCCTCGCCACCCCCAAATCAAATCAAAGTCGTGTTTCTCCAAATGCCTACAACTCTTATCGTCAGAGATCCAGGAAGGAGCACAAATCAGAGCAAGTCTGCCCTCTCCTACAGCGGGCCACCTCCGGACCAAGACCAAGCGTCCCCACGCCTCCTGCGTCCTTCATCATCAGGGGTCAAAGGTGAGTCTGCGTGCTCAGAGTTCCAGGTGGCTTCCCCAGCTGTCCTCGGCTCCATCCACAGGGGTCAAAGGGAAAGCTCAGCACTCGGACCAGGTCTGCCCCTCCCCTGATGGAGAAAGGGTGAGCTCGGCACTGGGACTAAATCTGTGCTTCCCAGACAACTCTGCCCTTTCAACCATGACATCACTATCTGCCTCGGGTCAACCGGGACTAATCTCATCATCCCCATCATTCCTGTTCAATCATTCCTGTTCAATGTCCATCTCGAAAAGGCTTGTCGTCCCTTTTCCTGCACTCCTTCCCAAAAGGCCCGGTACAAGCCCTACTCTGTCTTCATCTCCTAACCTTTCCCAAAGCCTGACACTCTTGCACTGCACCCTCTGGACTATCCTCCACCCTCTCTGTGCATCCCCATTACCCCATCGGTGCTCTAATAGAGACCTGCCCTCCCCTGAGGGGCCTGCTTCCTCTGCAGCCTGGCTGTCCTTTCAGCCCACCTCTCCCTGAGCCTGAGAATGGATCAGGTGTCTTCTTGCGTTCCTTGCTGTCACAAACTCTTCTCCCTCTAGCCTCCCTGAATTCCTAATGCAGTTCCTAATCGCATCGCTTCAGATTATAAGTACTAACCCCACCTCATCATTGCCATCTCCCCACTCTTTCGTCACCATTTTAGCTCCTAACTCACATGATCTCCAGGCTACTCCTGCCTTAATTGTTGGCAAATTCAAAATACATCTAAGTGTGATCTCTCCTACAACGGATCTCTAGTTTCTGGAGCAAGGATCTTGCCACGTATCCCACCTTGCCCTCAGCCTCTCACTCCCACTGTCATATACTAGATCTCACCACTAGACAACAGCAGTCCCTACTGAATTCAGTTCCATGTATCTTCTTCTCTAACCACTACTCTTGATCTTTCCAGCTCATTCCCTCTGGACCCAACTCCAAAAATCCTTCAACCCCACTGGCACCTATAGTCCACTGTTTCCATCTTCTCTCTGCTGTGCCTTGATATCTTCCTGGATTTCCCTCAAACCTCCTTACCCAGTTTAATCTCCAGGTCCGTCATCATCACTCTCTCGCACAAGCCCTCACCTCCTCTGCCCTATTATGCTCACCTGGTAGAATCTCTCTACCCACTCCATGCCTATATCTATGCAGCTACATGTGCCTGGAGAAGCACACACAATAAATGCATTCACGCAAAACTCCAAACCACATCACTGAAATCTGAGAACCCTAGGGAGAAAGGAGAGTATGGTACAAGAGGGAAAAACGGGTCATAGACAAAAGATCAAAAATCAAAATGTCCTTGAAATTCTCAATAGCCGTGCAGGAGGCCAGAAGACAACGAAGCAATTTATTAAAAAAAAAAAAAGTTCTGAAGAACCTAGGGCCAGGATAGGAATAAAGATGCAGATGTAGAGAATGGACTTGAGGACGTGGGGAGGGGGAAGGGTAAGCTGGGACGAAGTAAGAGAGTGGCATGGACATATATACACTACCAAATGTAAAACAGATAGCTAGTGGGAAGCAGCCGCATAGCACAGGGAGATCAGCTTGGTGCTTTGTGACCACCTAGAGGGGTGGAATAAGGGAGGGTGGGAGGGAGACACAAGAGGGAGGGGATATGGGGACATATGTATATGTATAGCTGATTCACTTTGTTATAAAGCAGAAACTAACACACCATTGTAAAGCAATTATACTCCAATAAAGAAGTTAAAAAAAAAAGAATGAAAATGATTACAATGAGGAATTCTATACCCCCATCAAACTGTTAATCAAGTAAGAGGACAAAATGAAGACATTTCAGTCCTGCAAAGTTAAGAAAAATTTACAGCCCCAAAACTCTTTCCTCAGGAAGCTACTGGGGGAGGTACCAGAATAAGAGAATGGACACAGAAGGAGGGAGGCATAAGATGCTGCTCCAGCCTGAAGCACAGGCAAAGGAAACTCTAGATGATGGTGAAAGGTGGTCACGTCTCTGTCCCGGGGGGAGCGAGCCTCTAAGTTCACAAGGGGCGAGTCAGATGCACCAAGAACCAAAAGAGATGGAACTGAGGGAATACCTGATGCATCTGAAAACACCAAGAGTGGACTGAAACGACTATTGGAGAGTCTGCAGCTAGATTAGTAACAAATACATAGGAAACCAAGCAAATGACAAGAAAAACCACAATACTAACTTCAGGCGAACTAAGGAGTTGTGAAGGAGATGAATCCTAGAATGTTCCATGGCTCCACTGTGAGCAGTGTTTACAGAGTCCTGATAACGTAAACAGACTGGAATCTCACTGCTCCTTTATTAGGAGGATGTGGGAATGGAAAGTATACATGCGTGTGGTAGGGAGAGGGGATAAAGGAAAGATAAATCCTTACGTCCCATAGAGGGATGTCAACAGAGTAGCCTTAAACAGAACAATCAAGAAGCAACATAACCATGTTATATAGAAGCATACAAGGGCGGTACACACCACAAGAATCAGCTAAAAGAAGCAAAAGGGATGGTCGGGGCTGGAGGTGGGGAGAGGGCAGGGCAGGGCACTTCTGTCTTCAGAACAGGCTTTTAAAACTATTTGACTCCTTAAACTTCGTGTCCTTTAATTTTTTTTTTAAAGAACAGGAGACAACAAAGATGAATTATCTTTTTATCCTTCAACTCTTACTTGAGTAATGATGTTTGAAACAAGCACATTTCTTTCTAGTGTACATTTTAGTTTGCTAACATTTTACCATATGATTTAGTCAGTTACAATTAACATCCCCTTCCAATGAGAAGAATACCTTTACCTGTGATAGTAGCTCTTCCTTTTCTCCAGCAAGTTTTCGTAGCCTTACATCTAAAACAAATGAAAAATTTGTAATGTTGTAGTACATAAACAATTTAAAACAATTCTTCAAATTCACAAATGGCAAACATCTGATAAACAGTTCATAGCTCTGAATATCAAGACATGAAGGCTTTAATGGTGAAAGGAAAAGTACTTAATTATTCAACACATATTTCCACACAACTGATATTTATCAGGGCACTAAATACAACATTTGCTCCCAAGAGCAGTGATTTTCCATCTGAAGACAAAATGAAGTACAAAGATCATTTCCTTGTTTCAAAAATTTCCAAGTTTTACCAGTAGATAGACAACTCAAAGCCAAGGGTACTCCCACAGGCTCTTAAGCCCTTAGCAGGAGAAAACAAACTATGGGAGAGAAGGCAGGGACTAAGAATGGGCCTGAGAGGGGTGCTAGAGCAAAGAAAACAGAGGAACACAATGATGGAAGAAGCAGAGGCCCACAAAGCTAGTTGGGGGAGGGAAGGGGACCAACTCTAAGATGTGTGCCGTCAAGAGCCATCTGAGGGGCTTCCCTGGTGGCGCAGTGGTTGAGAGTCTGCCTGCTAATGCGGGGGACATGGGTTCGAGCCCTGGTCTGGGAGGATACCACATGCCGCGGAGCAACTAGGCCCGTGCGCCACAACTACTGAGCCGGCGTGTCTGGAGCCTGTGCTCCGTGGCAGGAGGGGCCGCGATAGTGAGAGGCGCGCACATCGCGATGAAGAGTGGCCCCCGCTTGCCGCAACTAGAGAAAGCCCTCGCACAGAAACGAAGACCCAACACAGCAAAGATAAATTAACTAATTAATAAACTCCTACCCCCAACATCTTAAAAAGACAAACAAACCAAAAAAAAAAAAAAACCCCAAAAGAGCCATCTGAGGCTTGGTAGCAGGACTGCTAGGGCTTGCTCCTGGCCTGAGGGGAGGGCTGCTTCTTCCCAACATGCATTAAAATAGGCCCCTTGGGGCTTCCCTGGTGGCGCAGTGGTTGAGAGTCCGCCTGCCGATGCAGGGGACGCGGGTTCGTGCCCCGGTCCGGGAGGATCCCACATGCTGCGGAGCGCCTGGGCCCGTGAGCCATGGCTGCTGAGCCTGCGTGTGCGGAGCCTGTGCTCCAAAACAAAAAAAAAAAAAAAAAAGGCCCCTTGGACTGAGGGGACACCTACAGATGAGTTTTTTACAAAAGCACCTGACACCCAGCCAGCACTCCCCACAATCCACCAAGGTCATGGCCAAATGTTTCCGCACCTCCCATCAGGCAGAGAAAACCATCTGAGCTGCCCGTGGCTGTACACTCAGTCTATTCCCCACGGCAGCTCTCACTCACCTCGCCGGCATCCTCTGCTTTATCAAAGTTCTCGACAGTTACACTTCCAGAATTCTGTACGTTAGAGAATGTGCCCTTTAAAACGTTTTTTGGCTGCCCGCCCCCCTTTATATTATATCTATTCTTCTAGGAAACCTACATATATATGAAAATAAGACAAAGAAGAAAAAACGATCATTTTTTAATATAAAAGTGAGCTGATGATACAGTATCTACTTGTGCCATTCTTCTTCTCTAGAATAGGAATCTTAGTGGAGGCAATAGATGGGCATCTGAGTGGTTTCCTGAGACAGGTGTCATTAGGTTCTCAAGGGGTCAAATTTAAGAGGCTTAGCCCTTAAGAGGCTCAGAAGCCCTGCTCTGGAATAACACTCCTCTGATATCTTCTTGGTCGTCTGTTTTTTGCCTTAAGAAATGCAGTGGCAAAGAGCTACAGAATCCTGGCATGAGTAGCAGGACAGAAAACCAGATGCTCCAGGAAGAAGAAACTTACACGTACTCTGGAAGCTGCCGACCAGCCCACTGGTTCCCCCGGACGGATGTGCTGGATTATCTCTTTGCAGAAGGTTGTATTTAAGTGAAAAAGCAACATGTATACACTCACAGTGCTTCCAACCAGGGGCCTTACAGTTACACTTACTGCCTGTCAATGACCCCAATGCTGGTTTCCCAAGGTCAAGGATGTCTGAAGACAGTGTGCCCAGATTTCTTCCCGTTAGGGATCTAGATAAGGCTCAGACAGACCTGGTGTGTTTTTGTTTTTCAAGAGAGGATGTGAACAAGCTGGAAGTCCAAGAGGACAGCATTGATCCAAGTCAATACAGTGGCGGTGTCTTACCCAGTGGCCCTTCTCCTGCCGACTCCAAGACCTGAGCGGCTTCCTGAGACACAACAGTGATGGCTCCGACCACTGGCTCCTGGTGGACGTCGCCGTTGGGAGTGCCGTCGGGGATGATGACTAAGCCATGTTTCTGCAGAGAGGAAGAAACCCACCATCACAAAAAACGGCCCCCAGGGAAGGAGGACATGGCAGTGAGGCGACTGACCCTGCGACAACACATGCCTGCCACGGGAACACTTGGTCAGCACTAGCTACACGGAATCTAGCTCTGCAGAGACAGGACTCACACCTACCAAATCTGGGCTGAAGAGTGAACACTGTGCTTTGTATTCAGGCTGGAAAGAGGACAGGACGGAAGGAAGGAGGAACAAAGCAGTGAGGGCCTGGCGCGCGGGGGAGCTCACGTACCTCTCCCGTCTCCACTGCTGCCTTCAGCTCGGCCAGCTCCTCTCTGAGCGAGTCCCGCTCACTCCTAAGGCAGCCAATGTATTCTTTCTGTTTCTCTAGGGCCTGGTTTAGACAGGGTAGCAAGAGAAAGAACGGCACAGAAAAAGAGCAAGTGAAAGGTAGCAGAGAAGTACCTAATTCAAATTCAAAAAAGATAAAGGCATAGGAGACAAGGAAGCATTAAAAGCTTTGGAAACAAGCAGTTAGATATGGGAGGAAATACACAGTTATACGGGTATCTATCTCCAGAAGAAAGTTTTAATAGTAAGTGGTTAATCGTGCATAAATTTGGCAAAACATGCTTATCACATCAGGCAAGAAAACAAATCTTTCTTTTTCAGTCATTTAGTAATACTAAAATAAAGTCTTCCTTACAAACCTCCTAAGTACGTTTGTTTGGTAGACCAAAAAACCCACGTTTCATGTTAAACTAAAGTATATTCAAGAATATACCTGATTTTTTAAAAAATAAAAATTAGTTCTGGAGGAAAACAACCAGTATATATACAAGGTATTTTAATTAAATACTGGCCGTAGTAGTCGTTCTCCAGGAGTATGGTAAAATATTCCTCAGATACTGCTTAATTAAAAATAGCTAATCTCAGGCTTCCCTGGTGGCACAGTGGTTGAGAGTCCGCCTGCCGATGCAGGGGACACAGGTTCGTGCCCCGGTCTGGGAAGATCCCACATGCCGCGGAGCGGCTGGGCCCGTGAGCCATGGCCGCTGAGCCTGCGCGTCCAGAGCCTGTGCTCCGCAACGGGAGAGGCCACAACAGTGAGAGGCCCGTGTACCGCAAAAAAAAAAAAAAAAGCTAATCTCCCCCCCCAAAATTCTCAAGGATCTGTTTTTGTTAATTTAATTAACAAAATAATAACTAAGGGTTATTTGGTTTTCTGATATACCTTCAAAATGTGAAAAACCAAAAAAAAATACTGACAAAATAAATACAGTCCACCTATGGCAGGTAGCAGAATATGGGTTTGGAAACAGGACGTTGAGTCCTGGCACCTATTAACTGACCTATGCCTCAGTTTCCTCACTGGAAAAGGGGATAAATAACAGCAGCATCCTATGGGCACAGGCTGAAAGGAGTACTCAGTGTCAAGCACCCTGCCTGCAGTGTGTAAGATGCAAGCAAGGCTCAGGAAAAGCCAGACTGGGTTCCATTTTTCCCACCATTGCCTAAATCTCACACTGTCAGAGCTCAGGACAGTGGTGCAGAAGCAGGAACACACGTTTGGTCAACAATGACATACTGTTACTCTGTGTAATAAAATACCCCATACTTCAGAACCCACCCAGGATAAGCAGTCTGTGCAGGTATCTGACAGCTGCGCTATTTGAAAAAGCCTTTATCTGCACATTTGTTCCTATATTTAATGTTTTCTACCAGCATTCCCATTAATCTAAGAAGTTAAACTACAACAGGTAACTTTCCTCTTGGTTTACAGAGTTTAGAAGTGGGCTAACTGCTTAGTTACTGACTGCTGAATAGCTGGACAACTTTTTAAATCATTATAATCCTATTTTCCAACCAATAAGTAAATAATGGATGATAGCAACTGTCATTTGTGTAGCTCCAGGTGTTAAATATACATATAATTTCTCATATATTTTTAACTTAATTTCTCCCTTATATACCCTGTACTTTCCTTATGCCCATTTCACAGATCAGAAAACTGAGGTTCAGAGAGGCTACGTTTTCACCCAAAGTCACAGTAACTGGTAAAGCCAGAAAATGAATCCAGTTCTTTTTGGTTCCAAAGCCCTTGCGTACTCTTTATCTATCGTCGCCCCATGAAGGCCACAATTATGTTCCCTTATTGTCATCCCAGATAGTACTGGAAAAGTAGTTCACAGGGCAAGTCCTATTCCTTACCTGCCCAAACTGCAACATGAACATCTAACTTCCTTTCAACAATTTACATTCATACTGTGTGTCTACAGTCTGTGTGTAAGTTAACAATCTGCATTTCTAGCACCATAAGGCATTTACTCTACCACTCCAAGCTAATATTAACACTCCATTACATTACTAGCAAGTGTAACATTAGGACAGCAAAGCCCAAGCAATACTCTCCCATCTACTGACAGCCACTCTCATCTCTGCTGCGTTGGCTATTTTGGGTTATGGTATCTGTGTGCATAGTCGTGCCATGCGTCACCACATGTAACTGGGTCAGCAACCACTGTCACAACATGCTCTGTAGAAACACCATTGGAGATAAAAGACCCGTTAGGAACAGACCAATTTGAAACCCAGAATTCTAGCAAATGCTAGTACATGCCATTTGTTCCTCTTCCCAATCTAATAGCAGATTTTATCTTTACTTTTGGACTTTTAAATTTCATCTTCCCATAATTATGGATGGGAAAATAAAATACATCCTGCAAATCCTTCCATTTCACCACAAACTTTGAGGACTACTGAAGTACCTTATAATTGGACCAAATGTATTCACACTGGATCTGAAATCCTCTGTATTACCTGACCATATAATCACTACCCTTGTGTTTGTATTCCATAATTGTTCCTAGAGATTTTTTTTTTTAGGGTAAAAAGTACATGCTTGTGGAGATCTAAGTAATTCTTTACCCCTGACCTAACCTCAAATTCTAGTGTCAAGAAGCCTAAAGGCTGAACTTTTGGACAACAGGTTATAATTACATACAGGCACAAATATCTTCAGTCAGAATGGGAGTGAGCCTTGTTCTGGGCTATAGGGATATACAAGCCCTTCATATGTACTGATTATACGCATGACCACTGGGTGCTCAGAACTACACCGGTGCTAGAGGTACGACCACTAGGATCAATGAAAGAACTAAAGAAAACTGAACTTTAATATGAGAATAATGGCCATGTTCCTTCATGGAGTTACTAAATTTAAATCTTGATAATGAAGCTACTAGAGACAAGTGATATATTAGGCAGTCACAGATCATATTTAAAAATGTGTCTTTTAAAAGTCAAGGGAGGACCACCTCACACACATTAGGATGGCTACTATCAAAAAAAAAAAAAAAGAAAGAAAAAAAGAGGAAACAAGTGTTGTCAAGGATGTAGAGAAACTTGAACCCTTGTACAGTGCTGGTGGAAAGATAAAATGGTGCAGCTGCTATGGAACACGGTATGGCTGTTCTTCAAAAAATTAAACATAGAATTACCATATAATATAGCAATTCCCCTCCTGGGTACATACCCAAAAGAAATCACCAAGAGAGTTTTGCAAACTCATGTTCACGGCAGCATTACTCACAATAGTAAAAAGGTGGAAGCAACCAAGCGTCCAGATGAACAGATAAACAAAATGTGGTACAAGCAAACACTGGAATATTATCCATTCTTAAAAAGGAAGGACTTCTGACACATGCTACAACATGTCTGAACCCTGAGGATATATGCTAAGTGAAATAAGCTAGTTACAAAAAGACAAATACTGTATGATTCCACTTTATGAGGTACCAAGAGTAGTCAAATTCATAGAAACGAAAGTGGAAGGGTGGCTGCCAGGGGCTGGAGGAGGGGAAATTGGGGAGTTGCTATTTAATGGGCAGTTTCAGTTCTGCAAGATGCAAAGGTTTCTATGGATGGATGATGGTGAGGTAGCACAATGATGTCAATGGACTTAATACCACCAAACTCTACATTTAAATTTAAATGGTCAATTTTCTGTTATTTTTTTGGACTTTACCACAATTAAAAAAATTTCTTTTAAGTCAAAGGAGGGACAAACTACTGATGCATGAAACAACTTGGATGAATCTTAAGGGGAATTATTCTGAGTGAAAAAAATGTAACTCCAAAGGGCTGCATATATATGATCCCATATACAACATTCTTAAGATGACAAAATTATACCAATGGAGAACAGATTAGCAGTTGTCAGCACCTGGGATGGTGAAGGGGAGGCAGTAGATATGGCTGCAAAAGGGCAACAGGAGGGACCCCTTATGGTGATGAAAAGGTTCTGCATCTTGATTATATCAAGGTCAATACACTTGTTGTACTATAGTTTTACAAGATGTTACATTTTGGGAAAACTGGATAAAGGGCATACAAGATCTCTGTATTATTTCTTACAATTGCATGTGAACCTACAATGACCTCAAACATTTTTTAAAAGTTTAATTTAAAAAAAAAGCCTAGGGCTTCCCTGGTGGCGCAGTGGTTGAGAGTCTGCCTGCCGATGCAAGGGACACGGGTTTGTGCTCTGGTCCGGGAAGATCCCACATGCCGTGGAGCAGCTAGGCCCGTGAGCTGTCGCTGCTGAGCCTGCGTGTCTGGAGAGACACGGGAGAGGCTCCACAACGGGAGAGGCCACAAAAGGGAGAGGCCCCCGGAACCAAAAAAAAAAAAAAAAAAAAAAAGCCAAGTAGATAGCCTCATCCACCAAGGGCAGACAGCAGAAGAGAGAAGAACTACAATCCTGCAGCCTGTGGAACAAAAACCACATTCACAGAAAGGTAGACAAGATGAAAAGGCAGAGGACTATGTATCAGATGAAGGAGCAAGATAAACCCCCAGAAAAACAACTAAATGAAGTGGAGATAGGCAACCTTCCAGAAAAAGAATTCAGAATAATGATAGTGAAGGTGATCCAGGACCTTGGAAAAACAATGGAGGCAAAGATTGAGAAGAGGCAAAAAATGTTTAACAAAGACCTAGAAGAATTAAAGAACAAACAGAGATGAGCAATACAATAACTGAAATGAAAACTACACTAGAAGGAATCAATAGCAGAATAACTGAGGGAGAAGAACGGATAAGTGACCTGGAAGACAGAATGGTGGAATTCACTGCTGCGGAACAGAAAAAAGAATGAAAAGAAATGAAGACAGCCAAAGAGACCTCTGGGACAACATTAAATGCAACAACATTCACATTATAGGGGTCCCAGAAGGAGAAGAGAGAGAGAAAGGACAAGAGAAAATATTTGAGGGGATTATAGTTGAAAACTTCCCTAACATGGGAAAGGAAATAGCCACCCAAGTCCAGGAAGCGCAGAGAGTCCCATACAGGATAAACCCAAGGAGAAACACGCCGAGACACATAGTAATC